TTTTTTCCCCGACGGGACTGAGGGATACCGACCTTAACCTGGGGTTTTGTACGTTTTATTTTACATGTCCCTGTGTTTTTTCCCTCCGTTAGCACTGGCACAGGGGAAAATGGTGGTACAGATATGATCACTGTCAACAGATGAACGTCAGTAAAAAATGAAATTTCACTTCGCTATTTACGTCTGGCATAGCGGGTTTTGGGTGCCGGGCACCATTTTAAATGTTCAAATTTTTTCCCTCGTTTTGGGACTGACGAAAAAAGTTTTTACAACCGTCATTTCCGGAGATTTAGTTGATCGGTTTTTTCCCTGTTTTTCTTTCCCCTTAAACACGGGGCAGTTGATATGGAGGCAGTTATTTCATTGTATGAAAACTCTCAGCTGGGTTTACGTCTGGCAGCAGGGCTGGTACTTTTAATCCGGGGCCCCCTTTTGTCAATTTTGTCCATTTCGTTGTCGTCACCGTCAGTTTTTAAAGTCACTAAAAGTTCCTTTCATGTTTTTCAGCAGTACTTTTTAAAATTTGGCCACCTGGAAAATTCGGGGGCCCAGGGGACGGCAAGATGTAGGAGCAGCCTTGTTGTTGCTTGCTGCGGCTGCCCAGTAATGGTAGGGAGGAAGGGTAAAATAAACCCAATGAGGAGCAGGGGTACAGTGGGGACAATAAGGGAACACTGTATCAACATCTGGGGTCCCAGACTATTTCAACATCTTACCAGAAGATATCAGAAACACGGCTGGAACAAGTGTAGAAGCCTTCAAGAGGACACTGGACAAGTATTTTCACCAGGTACCAGAACAACCAGGCTGTGATGGATATGTGGGGCATCGTGCCTCCAGCAGCAACAGCCTGGTTAACCAGGAAAGCACCAGATGAGCCTGGCCCATGGGCAGACTCAGAGAGTAGAGAAACTCTCGAAACTCTTCAAAGGTATATCAAAGGTAAGGTATGCTAACCTTCCTAGTTAGAACAGAAATGCAGTATGCCTTATTGGATAAATCTTATTAGGCTGGCATGGTACTGTGAATAATGCACTGGCTTGCTAGTTTTAGGATTGGTTTGCCATAGGCTGAAATCCCATTCTTCATTGAGTTATTGTATGTGACAGTTAATATAAATAAATAAAGTCTAATGATAGTTCTTGTAACCAGACTAAAAGGTAGTCAGGGTCTTTTAATTTAGAGAATTTCATGTTTACAGAAAGGACTTATGATCTTGTTCCAGAAAAGTGGATCTGTCTCACCCTTGGATCAAACCTTGTTTCCTCCCATTCTCCATGTGCCTCTTCCTAATAATAATAATATTAGTGGCAAGGTAACCTAGGCATGAGATGGCAGTTGTTAACCCTTTCAGGGTCCGTGCCGTAGATCTACGGCTTTACGTTTAGGGTCCAAACCGTAGATCTACGCCATGAGCTCAGCTCACTCCGATAAGCTATGAGCGGTAAATTTGGGCCTAGGTATGAGAGAATACATCTATGGGGTATGTGTGCACCACATAAAACAAATCATGCAGCACACAGTGTATAATGAGAGAAAAAACTGAGACCATGATTTTCAATTAAAACAGCGACTTTGCAGTGTTTTTTATATGTTTTTTATAATTGTATTTGCAATTTCTTGGTCTCATTTGATAGAATGGAAGACATATTACAGAAATAGAGATGATTTTGATTGGTTTTAGCACTGGAAATGGCTTGAAACTGAGCTCAAAGTAGCAGAAATGTTAAATTTTTGCCTATGTTCAAGAGTAAACAGATGACCTCGCACATCTAATACAAACCAGCTGGTGGGTCTAATATACATTCACAAATGTGGTGATGATATTTATACAATTATAATTACAATATTGTATAACAGTAAATCTTCTATTTTTTGGTTTGAATAAAAATTCATTATGTGAATAAAAAATCAAATGGATTTGTCAGTTAAAAATAGGAGAGGAGAGTTATTAAATGGAGAGTTAGAGGTATTGGGAAGATGGAGGGAATATTTTGAGGAAATGTTAAATGTTGATGAAGATAGGGAAGCTGTGATTTTGTGTATAGGACAAGGAGGAATAACATCTTGTAGGAATGAGGAAGAGCCAGTTGTGAGTGTGGGGGAAGTTCGTGAGGCAGTAGGTAAAATGAAAGGGGGTAAGGCAGCCGGGATTGATGGGATAAAGATAGAAATGTTAAAAGCAGGTGGGGATATAGTTTTGGAGTGGTTGGTGCAATTATTTAATAAATGTATGGAAGAGGGTAAGGTACCTAGGGATTGGCAGAGAGCATGCATAGTTCCTTTGTATAAAGGCAAAGGGGATAAAAGAGAGTGCAAAAATTATAGGGGATAAGTCTGCTGAGTATACCTGGTAAAGTGTATGGTAGAGTTATTATTGAAAGAATTAAGAGTAAGACGGAGAATAGGATAGCAGATGAACAAGGAGGCTTTAGGAAAGGTAGGGGGTGTGTGGACCAGGTGTTTACAGTGAAACATATAAGTGAACAGTATTTAGATAAGGCTAAAGAGGTCTTTGTGGCATTTATGGATTTGGAAAAGGCGTATGACAGGGTGGATAGGGGGGCAATGTGGCAGATGTTGCAAGTGTATGGTGTAGGAGGTAGGTTACTGAAAGCAGTGAAGAGTTTTTACGAGGATAGTGAGGCTCAAGTTAGAGTATGTAGGAAAGAGGGAAATTATTTCCCAGTAAAAGTAGGCCTTAGACAAGGATGTGTGATGTCACCGTGGTTGTTTAATATATTTATAGATGGGGTTGTAAGAGAAGTAAATGTGAGGGTCTTGGCAAGAGACGTGGAGTTAAAAGATAAAGAATCACACACAAAGTGGGAGTTGTCACAGCAGTTCTTTGCTGATGACACTGTGCTCTTGGGAGATTCTGAAGAGAAGTTGCAGAGATTGGTGGATGAATTTGGTAGGGTGTGCAAAAGAAGAAAATTAAAGGTGAATACAGGAAAGAGTAAGGTTATGAGGATAACAAAAAGATTAGGTGATGAAAGATTGAATATCAGATTGGAGGGAGAGAGTATGGAGGAGGTGAATGTATTCAGATATTTGGGAGTGGACGTGTCAGCGGATGGGTCTATGAAAGATGAGGTGAATCATAGAATTGATGAGGGGAAAAGGGTGAGTGGTGCACTTAGGAGTCTGTGGAAACAAAGAACTTTGTCCTTGGAGGCAAAGAGGGGAATGTATGAGAGTATAGTTTTACCAACGCTCTTATATGGGTGTGAAGCATGGGTGATGAATGCTGCAGCGAGGAGAAGGCTGGAGGCAGTGGAGATGTCATGTCTGAGGACAATGTGTGGTGTGAATATAATGCAGAGAATTCGTAGTTTGGAAGTTAGGAGGAGGTGCGGGATTACCAAAACTGTTGTCCAGAGGGCTGAGGAAGGGTTGTTGAGGTGGTTCGGACATGTAGAGAGAATGGAGCGAAACAGAATGACTTCAAGAGTGTATCAGTCTGTAGTGGAAGGAAGGCGGGGTAGGGGTCGGCCTAGGAAAGGTTGGAGAGAGGGGGTAAAGGAGGTTTTGTGTGCGAGGGGCTTGGACTTTCAGCAGGCATGCGTGAGCGTGTTTGATAGGAGTGAATGGAGACAAATGGTTTTTAATACTTGACGTGCTGTTGGAGTGTGAGCAAAGTAACATTTATGAAGGGATTCAGGGAAACCGGCAGGCCGGACTTGAGTCCTGGAGATGGGAAGTACAGTGCCTGCACTCTGAAGGAGGGGTGTTAATGTTGCAGTTTAAAAACTGTAGTGTAAAGCACCCTTCTGGCAAGACAGTGATGGAGTGAATGATGGTGAAAGTTTTTCTTTTTCGGGCCACCCTGCCTTGGTGGGAATCGGCCAGTGTGATGATTATAAAAAAAAAAAATCAAAAATCAAAATGGAATTCATTTGTAAAGCCTCAAAATGTAACTAATGAACAGAGGAAATGTTAGTTTAGTGCCAGGAATGCCTACATTGTTTATCCTGGACCTTATTTTGAAATTGGAATATTTTGAACTTTGTGTTAAATTGGCCAAATTACCAATTTCCGATCACTTTATTTTGTAGTTGAAACAGTTGACTTGGCAATTTCTTGTGCTCAGTCGATAGAATAGAAGTAATACTAGTGAAATAGCTAAGAGTTTGGTCGACTGGAATAATGTAATTGGCCTAAAATGGGAGTCAGTCAGCAAAATCGCCGATTCATAAATATCGCTGACACATCAAAATTCGTGAGAGCATAATTTCGTCAATTTTCCATCAAATTTTGTACTTTTTGTTTTATTACCTTCAGAAAAAGATTCTCTACCATTTCATAAGAAGAAATAACAAAATTTTTTTTTGAAAATTCTTGGACCCTGGTGTGCACTTTGAAATTTGGCCTCTGGGCTCTGAAAGGGTTAAAAAACAATAATACCAACAATCAGTGTTCTGTATTGATAAAGAATATTACATATATAATATACTCCTAGGTAATAAGTTGGTAGACAGCAACTGCCCAGGGAGGCACTACTGTCCTGCCAAGTGAGTGTGAAACAGAAGCCTGTAATTGTTTTATATGATAGTAGGATTGATGGTGTCTCTTTCTGTCTTGTAAACATGCAAGATTTCAGGTACGTCTTGCTATTTCCACTTAGGTCATACTACAAATGCATAGACAAGCATATATATACACATGCCCCTCTGGGTTTTCTTGTTTCCTTACTAGTTCTTGTTCTTGCTTATTTCCTCGTCTCCATGGGAGAGTGGAGCAGAGTTCTTCCTCCGTGAGCCATGCGTGTCATAAGAGGCAACTAAAATGCTGGGAGCAAGGGGCTAGTAACCCCTTCTCCCATATAAATTACTAAATTTAAGAGAAACTTTCGTTTTTCTTTTTGGGCCACCCTGCCTTGGTGGGATACGGCTGGTGTGTTGAAAGAAGAATTACTAAATTTAGAAGGAGAAACTATAAGTCCAAAATATGTCATAATTTTTAAAAGACTGTGATACACTGCATTTGAAATATTTCAGGCACATCACAAACTTTTGGTGACACATTTGCTGGTTCCTAAGCAATGTGGCACAGCTGACTCTTGCACGACCCAGCATGAAGAGGAACTCTTTGATTATCAAGATAAACTAGATCTTATAACTGTTGGCTGGATACATGTAAGTAGAGCAGTTTACCCAAGATGTTCCTGAAAAATAAAGCTTTTTTCTTATGGTCAATAACAATTTTATATTTCAGTTCAGATTGTAAGTTGTAGTTGTTTCTGTTCAGGTAAAGAAATTAGGAAACACATTAAGATTATGACACTTAGGGTAGCTTTATTATTTTCTTGTTTGTTTTCCTAAGTACATTTCTGTATCAGCTCCAGTGGGTGCTAGCATAACTGTGCTGCACAGGTGATATGTTCAAACCAAATACACTGCATCAGGCTCTCATGAACCTTCAGCTCTTGTAAAGAAAGTTTTCTCATTGTGTTATTGATTTACATTTGTAGTTTTACTACTTTCATCACTACAGTACTGCTGTGTATATCTGCACAAGCAACCCTTATTATACATGCCAGTGAGACTAAAATTAGTTCAACTTATGATGTATATTTGTTCACTGGAAAATTTTAGATAGTAAATTTCGTACATTTTAACACATTCCCTGAGGCATACTAGGCATGGCATATACATACATGGAGGTTAGATCATTTGGATACCTGTTGTAAGTATTAACTAAGATGATCATGATATAGTTCACCTTCCTGTTGAGCAACTATTCTTTTAAGTTTTGTTAGTAGCCATTCATCAATAACCATAAATGTTTATACCACAGACTGAGCAGTGAGAACATCTTGTAGTCTACTGGTCTTGTAACTTTATCCACAGACATGTTTACTTGATGCATTTCATTATGATTGAAATGTATGAGCTAGTTCCTATCTGTACTATTCTATTTGTTCAAACATCTTTGCTAACAGTAGTTTTTAAGCTTCTATTTGAGAAATCAAAATTCAACATTCTCTTTGCTTGTTGCCAAAGCCTTTACTTTAATATACTACTGGAATACCAGGTGAGAGGAAATCCACAAAAGTTTGCCTTTGATCTCTGTCAGTAATTTGTGCATATCTGTGTTAGTATGTTACATTAATATTCCAGTTTTTTAGAGCAAGTAATGAGAATAATGACCATTAGGCTGCCTGTGGTTTCATATGTGAAGATTTAGTTATATTAGTAAATAACAACAACATTGCATTTGTATATACAGTGGCACCTCGAGTTTCGAACAGCTCCCAACTCAAACAATTATGTAAGTGTATTTTTGTAAGTGCTTTTGTAAGTGTATTTTTGGGGGTCTGAAACAGACTAATCTAATTTACATTATTCCTAATGGGAACAAATTCACTCAAACAGCCTTCTGGAATGAATTAAGTTCGTAACTCGAGGTACCACTGTATGTATATATATACACCTACCATCCGACTTACGACCGAGTTTGGTTCCGAGAAACCGGTCGTAAGTCAAAATGGTCGTAAGTCGAACTTTACTACTGAATATCAACAAAACATTTTTGTAATGACTTTATTTTATTGTTTTATTTTGGTATTTCATGTTTTACTTTACTTTTTGTGTTGTTAGTACTGTATTTTATACTGTAAGGTTTAGGATAAACACTGTGTACAACACAAATAGTTGTTTATTTCACAGAAATTTGGCATAAAAAACACGGTCGTAAGTCGAGCAGGTTGTAAGTCGGATGGTAGGTGTACATGTATATAAATATTTTTTTTTTCAACACATCAGTCATCTCCCACCTAGGCAGGGCGACCCAAAAAGAAAAAAAATTCCCCCCCCAAAAATACTTTCATCATCATTCAACATTTTCACCTGACTCGTACATAATCACTGTCTTTGCTGAGGCGCTCTGATAGAACTGTTTAAAAGTCAACCTCCAAACTGCCAATATCCCAAACCCCTCCTTTAAAATGCAGGCATTGTACTTCCCATTTCTAGGACTCGGGTCTGGCTAACCAGTTTCCCTGAATCCCTTCACAAAATATTACCCTGCTCACACTCCAACAGCTCGTCAGGTCCCAAGAACCATTTGTCTCTATTCACTCCTCTCTAACACGCTCACACATGCTTGCTGGAAGTCCAAGCCCCTTGTCCACAAAACCTCCTTTACCCCCTCCCACAAAACCTCCTTTACCCCCTCCCTCCAACCTTTTCAAGGATAACCCCTACCCTGCCTTCCTTTCCCTACAGATTTATACGCTCTCCAAGTCATTCTACCTTGATCCATTCTCTCTGAATGACCAAACCACCTCAACAACCCCTCTTCAGTCCTCTGACTAATACTTTTAGTAACTCCACACCTCCTAATTTCCACACTCCGAATTCTCTGCATAATATTTACACCACACATTGCCCTTAGACAGGACATCTCCACTGCCTCCAGTCACCTCCTCGCTGCAGCATTTGCAACCCAAGCTTCACACCCATATGAGAGTATTGGTACCACTATACTTTCGTACATTCCCTTCTTTGCCTCCATAGATAACGTTTTTTGTCTCCACAGATACCTCAACGCACCACTTGCCTTTTTTCCTTCATCAGTTCTATGGTTAACATCATCCTTCATAAACCCATCCGCTGACAAGTCAGCTCCCAAATATCTGAAAACACTCACTTCTTCCATAGTCCCTCTTTTCAATGTGATATCCAGTTTTTCTTTATCTAAATCATTTGATACCCTCATCACCTTACTCTTATCTATGTTCACTTTCAACTTTCTACCTTTACACACCCTCCTGAACTCATCCATTGACCTTTGTAACTTTTTTTTATATCTCCCAAAAGATTGTGTTAATGAAATTTATATCAGATAACATTTTAATAATTTTTGACTTTGTGGCTTTTTCATACCTGTTGGCTACTGGATGAAAATAGTATATTTGACTTCCATAGTGTTGGATACAGTTGCTCAAGTTACATGACTGCAAACTATAAGGCACCCCTTTAGGGATACCTAATTCATTTTTCCACCACCACTTGGTTTACTCACTCTAGATCCAAACATTAGACATTGCGGGGTTATTAACAAACAGACTTCACAGAAACTATATTGTTGCAACTTTAACCGTTTCACTGTCGGTGTCATATTAGTACGGTTTACAAGCCAGTGTTGGTGCCGTATTAATACGCCAAAATTCTAGTGATTTCAGATCTAGCAGGAGAAAGCTGGTGAACCTACATGTGAGAGAATGGGGCTGCGTGGTCAGTGTGCGAAGTATAAAAAAAAAAAAACTTTTTGGTTTAAAACGCCGACTTTGAGGTGTAATTTCATGTGGTGTTTATGGTTGTATTCTAATTTCCCTTGTTTCGTTTCATAGAATGGAAGATATATTACAGAAATAGAGATGATTTTGATTGGTTTCATGATGAAAAGTACCTTGAAATTGAGCTGATGTTCAAGATTAAAATAATGACGTCACTCTCTAATACGTGCCCAACTGACCAGTCTAATACGCAGTCACGAATGGGTTGACATTATTTATACAATTATTACAATACTGCAGTAATTTGCATAACATTAATTCTTCTATTTTTTGTGCTAATAAAAATTCAAAATGGAGAGCAGGAGTCATATAAGTGGGGCCTGCAGACATGACTAATGAACAGAGAAAATGTTATTTTAGTGCCAGGAATGTCTTCATTAATTATTTTGGACCCTATTTTGAAACTGACATCTTTTGAAATTTGTGTGAAATTGGTCAAATTGCCAATTTCTGGCCACTTTATTGGGTAGTTGAAACTGGTAAATGGGTGGTTTCTTGTACTCAATCGATAGAACAAATTGAGTTCTAGCGAAATAGCTACGAGTTTGGTAGACTGGAACGATGGAATTGGCCAAAAATAGGGATCAAAGTGGGTGAAATTAATGATGCTTTTATATCGCTGAGACCGCTAACTTTGCGAGAGTGTAATTCCATAAGTTTTCAATCAGATTTTATACTTTGTGTCATTACCATCGGGAAAAGTCTTATCATTTCATGATTTTTTTTTTTTTTAATTCTTCAACACTGAGAGCAAGTTTGTGAGCAAGGGTCTCGACAATGAAAGGGTTCAAAGCTTTATTCAATACATTATTATAAGAAAATTTCTAAATTCCAAAAAATGTAGTCATTGCTTTTATATACTGCATTACTGTATAGAAAATATTTTGAGGAGCTTAATAACATACTTATAATAATACATATTTGAATTCCCACCTTTCAAGTATTATATCTGAGGTAGCTAAAATATTGAGTTACCTGAAGAGTTACACTGCACTTTCAGATATAAGATTTTCCTTTTTTATTGATACAGTAAATTACTAATAACAATAGTTTTGATAGGGATGTAAAATTATTAATCTTGGCAGCAATTGCTGGTGAAGTACGTATATTATAGATCTAATATTGTGACCTTCAGGCTTGCCCCTTATGATGATTCATTTTTTTATATATGTGCTGATTTTTAATGTGATCTTTTCCAGACACACCCAACACAGACAGCTTTTCTGTCTAGTGTTGATCTTCACACACATTGCTCTTACCAACTGATGATGCCTGAGGCTGTGGCTATAGTATGTGCACCCAAATATGATGAGACAGGATTCTTTACTCTCAGTCCTAATCATGGATTACCATTTATTTCCAACTGTCAACAGAGTGGATTTCATCCACACCCTAAAGAGCCTCCATTGTTCCAAGTAAGCACTGAAATTATTCTTGTGTAAATAACAAAAAAAGGCACAATACCGTGACTTTGTCAATGGTCCAAGTCGGACCGAAACGTCGTCGTAAGCTTCTCTCTTTTATGTGCGGGTTATTTGTGTATGTGTGTGTATTCTTGTGTAATATAAGCAATCAATCTGTCATCATTAGCATAATCTTGGCTTGTAATTGTTGCTCTTTGACACTATATTCTTTTGGAAATTCACCTATTAGAAAGTTACCTTGAGAGTAAATATCTGAGAAGCACTTCACCTTGTCCCATTTAATATTTATAAGTAAGACATGACTGAAGATGGGTGGTTTTTGGGACCTGATGAGCTGTTGAAATGTGAGCAGGGTAATATTTTGTGAAGGGATTCAGGGAAACTGGCTAGCTGACTGAATCCTGGAGGTGGGAAGCACAATGCCTGCATAAAGGAGGGGTTTGTGATATTCGCTGTTTGGAGTGACATCTGAACTGTCATTTGTGCACCTCTGCAAAGACAGTGATTATGTGTGAATGATAGTGAAAGTGTTTTTCTCTTTTAACCCAGCTTGCCTTGATGGGAGACAGTTGGCATGTTGAAAAAAATGTATTACAGCCTCTCCTCACTTAATGATGCTAAGAACACACTATAATGGTAATGGGTTTGTGTCATCCATCTTTTATATTGTTTTAATGTCACCTTTGCACCATTTATAACATTTCTGGTATATTTTTGAATGTTTATACAGTAGTGTACTGTATATTGTAATAAACAGAAGAGGAAATCAGCTCTAATGTACATTATTTAGGTATGCATACTGGCCATAGCCCTTCGTAACTCTGAGTCATCGGTAAAAGAGTATATCGCTAAGTGAAGAGAGGCTGTATATTTTTTTTAGTTTTTTACTAATTTGGTCTTCTAACACTATGGACAAATAATACTTACACTCTCATTTCTTTCAGAGAGTAATACTTCTCAAAACATGCAAATAAGTCACATTGACTTTACTGGGTTATTCTGGATTAAGTATACTTAGTGTGCTTTGTGGCTGAATTGCACTGTTAGTCCACTGTTAGTATCATGAAATTGTAATAAATTTGGAATAAGTAATCTTCATGTCACTTCCACACCTTGTTTGCTGGTAGAGAAGCTGGTGGAGGAACAACAACTGATTTCATTGTTTACTTATGCTAGTTAGGTGTACTAGTATATTGGACAGTTATCACCTGAGTTGTTAACCATGTTGCAATGTGTGGATTGTCCTGGCCTTAAGAGATTTTCAAATGTATAAATAGTGTAGAAGACCCAATTAGTTGTGATGTCAAAAATGTTGGCAGGTGGGAAATTTGAAGGCACATGCATGCACGCACCCACCCACATGCACGCACTCATGCACATGCACACACGCGCGCATGCACATGCACACGTTGCCAGGCTAAAGGGTTAAATTTATTAGAGCCCAATCGAGCATCAAAGGTAGAAAGAACTCCAGCTAGTCTCCCTTAGGCAGATAATCACAGATTGAAGGATTTAGAAAGATTGTAGAAGGGAAGCAAATTTCAAAGAAAGACAAGAAATGCTCAATTCTAATGTCTTTACAATAAATTTTTGCATGCTTTGGGAAACTGGTAAGTGCTTCTTGCACCTGACCAGCTGATAAAAGTGGTCTATGTTTATTGTGGAGATACTTGCAGTTTTGAACTATAGTATTGACAAGCCTCTGGCAAGACGGTGATGGAGTGAGTATACCTGGAGAGGGTTTTGAGGGTCAATACCCCCACTGCCTGGTCTGAGACCAGGCCTCGTGGTAGATCAGGGTCTAATCAACCAGGCTGTTACTGCTGGCCGCACGTAAACTGACGTAAAACCAGTCTGGCAGATCAGGTATTGACTCTAGGTGCCTGCCCAGCGCCTTCTTGAAGACAGCCAGAGGTTTATTGGTAATCCCCCATATGTATGCTGGGAGGTAGTTGAACAGTCTTGGAACCCTTGACACCTGTGTTGTCTCTATTATACACGTGGTGCCTCTGCTTTTCATTGGGGGAGTGTTGCATCTCCTGCCAAGTCTTTTGCTCTCATAGGGAGTGATTTTCATGTGCAAGTTTGGTACTAATCCCTCTAGGATTTTCCAATTTTATATTATCGTGTATCTTTCACCTGCATTCCAGGGAATAAAAATCAAAGAACTTAAACCGTTCCCAGTAATTTAGGTGCTTTATTGTACTTATGTGTGGCATGAAACCTCTCTGTACACTCTCCAGGTCAGCAATTTCACCTGCCTTGAAAGGGGCAGTTAGTGTGCAGCAGTATTCCAGCTTAGAGAGAACAGGCAATTTGAAGAGAATCATCATTGAGTAGTTAAAGCACTTTTTCTTTTTCGGGTCGCCCTTCCTCGGTGGAAGATGGCCAGTGTATTAATAAATGTAATATTTGGAACCAAGTAGTAACTTTAGATGTTTATTTTCTCTTTCAGAATGCCAGCCATGTCTCACTTGAGAAAAATTTCCCCATAAAGGTTATTGATCTCCGGGAGTTTGAGTGAGTAGATATCAGAGTGGGAAGAAATTATGAAATGGATTTAATTCCAGACATTGTTGAAAATATATTTTTTATTATATATCATACCTGAAATCTTACATAGTTATATATAATATGGTAACAGTGACTAGATTTTGTTGTTGCTAGTGAGAAAAACTGTTATTGGTGAACTAATTAGTTTTATTTTTTATATAATATTGTTATTAGCTAGATTCAAAGTACCAAATCAAATCTATTATTACAACTGCTGTTCTTTTAATGGCAACTTTATCATGTTGTATGTGATATGAAGCCTTTTCACTTTATAATCATGTTCTATTAGATGTTCAGTAAATAATGCTTCTGAAACTCCTGATTGTAATCATTAACATACTACAAATTAGAGTTGTTTGCTCTTAAAATGTGAAGTCCATGGCTTACACTCCTGATTGGTTTTTGAAAAATTGTATGTAATGAGAATCTTGCATAATGCAAAGTATGTTTTTCCTGGATTTTTTATAAATTAGAGATACGTTCCATATCTCAGGAAATATTTTTCACACAGCATAGAGACTAATCATAGTGATCAAACAAGAAAGGGCTATTCTGTGTTACTTCTGACATTTTCTTACAGAATAATTCTGTAGTGTTGTATACAGTATGACGATGTAGTTTAATGCAGAACTACAATAGGTGAGTACAGAATGGTTCATATGGGAATGAGAAAATGCAAGTGACATGAAGTGATTAGAAATAAAATAAGTGATGCAGTAGGATTTAAAAAAAAAAAAAAGAATTAGTAAAGCCTAGCCCCACACTAATTTGTAATAATTAAATCACTTGCATTTCTCTTGTTTCTATACAGTATAATAGATCTCTGTACATATCAATATTAGATGCTTCTGCACTAGACTAAGTTTTTCACACAATTACAGGATTTTACTAAAATCTTATTTACTAAAAAAATACAGTAGACAACCACCTTTTGCACAAAATACCTTCCAGAAAAATGGAGTTATTCAAAAAATGTGATAGGTAGAATGAACAACTTGTGGGAAGAAAGTAGGTTATGTTCTATATCACCTTCAAAAAAGTCAAGCACCTTTTCTTGTAAATATATAATTTACCTAAAATAATGAACATTCATTAATGATTTGCCGGAAGTACCGGCAAATCCTTAATGAATCAATCAATGAACAAAGTATTGTGCAATGATTTTAAAAGGCACTCAGATGTTACAGGCACATTAAAGCATGTTGTTATAGTATAATACAGGATGATTTAACATAGCATAACCTGAGAAAGTCGAGCTATGTGAATACACTTGCTTCAAATTCTGGTTGTTATTGCTTAAGTGGCTTGATGTCAGTGGAGAGGCTTGGTATGGCCCTACTGGGCCTCACGGGGTAGTTGAAATAGAGGGCTGGGGTTCGTGGGCAGAATTGGATGGCTGAAGTGAATGGTTGGGATTACAGGAACCTTGAAGTATTCTGTCATGCATCTCTGCTGTGTTTTACCCAGCAGTACTTTATACAGCTGATGGTAGGGCATCATTGATTGGTTCAGCATCTGTTTCAGAGTAGTGCTTCTAGATGCATTAGAGGTCCTCTTCAATGAAAAAGTAAGTTTAAGAGCAACATGGAATTGCTTATGTAGCTGTTGAAATGTTAACTGTTTCTCTGCAGGCTCTTCTTCCTCATCCTCAACTTTGAGTCTTTTTCTACTTGGAAATTCAACTCTGCCAAAAAAATTTCTAGACTGATTTCTTCCTTGTTATCTAATAGTTCATTGATGTCTTCTGGCTGCATGTCTTCAAAGCCTTCATCTTGCAATCTCCTTGCCAGCTGAACAGTTGCCTCAGCTTGCCTCTCAATTGACAGAATTGTGAAAATATTCACACTAGGCCATAATTTTGCCAGCCTACACTTATTGTTGTTTTTGCACATTATTCCCCTTACCTTAACTGTTTATCCCTACATCCTGTACCTTCATCTAAATATTTTAATTAAACCATGCAACAGTAATTGTTGTAGTAGCCAATCTTTTTCATTACTCTCTACTAGATGAAGAGGAGCTCATGCATACATAGAATGAACTTATAAAAAAAAATCAGTACACTTAATCCTTTTGGGATGGGTCCTGTCATACTACAGCTGTGAGTGGTGAATTTGGGCCCAGATATGAGAGCTTGGATCTATGTGGTAAGTGTGCGCCATATAAAAGCAATCCTGCAGCAAGCAGTGCATAATGAGAGAGAGAGAGAAATTTGGGGTGTATTTTTGTATGGTTCTTATGGTTGCATTCTTGGTCTCACTTGATAGAATGGAAGATATATTACAGAAATATAGATAATTTTGATTGGTTTCAAGACTGAAAGTTGCTTGAAATTGAGCTCGAATTAGTAGAAATGTTCGATTTTGCCGATATTCCAGAGTACACAAATTATGTCACTCATACAATACGTGTCCAACTGGTCAGTCTGATAAATGTTAACAAATGTGCTGACATTTTCTTCTATAAAATTATTACAATAATGTAGTTGCATAACAGCAAATCTATTTTTTGTGTGAATAAAAATTCAAAATGCAAAGCAAGTGTAATACAAGAGGCCTGGGGATGTAACTAATGAACAGAGGAAGTGTTTTGAAATGCCAGGAATGTCTACATTGTTTACTCTGGACCCTAGTTTTAAATTGGCAATTCTTTAATTTTGTGTGAATTGGCCAAATTACCAATTTCTAATCACTTTAGTGATAATTCTGATCACTTTAGTGGGTAGTTGAAACAGTTAAATTGGCTGTTTCTTGTACTTAGTTGTTAGAATAGAAGGAATACAGTGGACCCCCAGTTATTGGCCGCTTCTGTTATCAGCCAACTTGGTGGTTGGCCGTTTTTTTTGGCGCCCGGTTATCGGCCGTTTCAGTGATCGGCCATTTGGGATGCATCCGTCCGCCAGCTGGGGCTGCTTGCGCATCAGTTTGGCTGCATCTTTCGGTGTGGGAGAAAGCTTCTGCTCGTACATCCAAACATTTTGCGTGTTTTCCATTTTTTTTGTAGGTTTTTTGCAGTGCAACTGTGAAATAAGTAACCATGGCTCCAAAGAAAGTTCCTAGTAAAGTTCCTGTGGTAAAGAAAGTGACAAACACCATGGAATTTAAGCATGAAGTGTAGCAGGCATGCAAGGAGTGTAGCAGGCATGCAGGAAGTATAGCTGTTATACAGGAAGTGTAGCAGGCATGCAGGAAGTGTAGCAGGCATTCCAGAAGCCAGCATTAGTCTTCAATAAAGGTATGTAATGCTGATTTAATTGTTAAAAAAAATATTTTTTGGTGAATATTTTTGTCTTGAACGGTACATTAATTCTTATGGGAAATATTATTTCGGTTTTCGGCCAGTTTGGTTTTATGCAGAGCTTCTGGAACAGATTACAGCCGATAACCGAGGGTCCACTGTACAAGCGAAATAGCTTTGATTTTGGTCAACTAGAACAATAGAATTGGCCAAAAATAGGGCTCAAACTGGTCAGAATCACTGATGTGTAAATATCACTGAGACTGTTAACTTTGCAAGAGTGTAATTCCTTAGATTTTCCATCAAATTTTGTACTTTTGGTTTCGTTACCTTTGGAAAAAGATTCTCTATCCTTTAATTTTTTATTTTTTAATTCTTCGACCTTGAGAGCAAGTTTCAAATCAGGGGTTCTGACCTTGAAAGGGTTAACAAATGAAACAAAAAGTAAAATGAAAAAATTCATAAATCCTGAAAATTAACTGATGGGTGGTGCGAGAGATCTGACTTAAACAAGGCTGAAGCATTTGCAGGCAATGATTCTTATGAAAGATGGTGCATTGAAATTTGTTTAATGGTCTAATAGAAGGGAGGGGGTGTTTGCTTAAAAACAAATCTGCTGCATGGAAGTGATGGATGTGGCAAACTACGTCTGCTGCGTTGATAGCCTACCAGTCATAGACAAATACCCAACACGGTGGACTTCACTGCATTGGGTATCAAATTCATACTTAGTTCTCTGCACTGATGACACTACCAGACAGTATTAAAATGCAGTCAATAAATTACAATGGTATGATACCTGAAAATAAAAGTTAAAAGTATAGCACAGTACAGTAATTTTTCTTAAATTTTCTGGTGGATGGATGAGCTAACAGTTGGATTCTGTGTTGTCTGGTGGTGACTCAGAATACCAGCCATGCCATAAGTTGTTGATCAAGCTATGCTGTTTATGGAAGTATCAAAGCCAACCATTACTTGCCCCATATTATATGCATATATGACTTGCTAGCTTCTTAGCAGCAGAGTGAAACTTAGCAGAATGATGTTAACACCAGCAGTATGCTATTTATGCACTGGTTTTTCAACCCTTTCTATCTTGGGCCATTTTTTTTATGCATCCTAGGAACAACTGCAGATTTTTTGCTAGCCTTTACACTATGTTAATAGCATATGCTGTAAGTTTGTCTGTACTTCAAATGTCAGACACTGCCTTTGCTACACTATTCCTCACACCCAGGCCACCAAGACATCAAATCCCCACCTGCCTTATTAATTAAAATTTCTACTTAGCACTCAAATTTACACACTTCTTGGCACTGTCACTGGTTTTAGAGGCCACTGATAATAACACTGTCCAAGATAATTTTTAAGGTAATGATAAATACTGTATATCCAGGGAAAATTTGAGACCAAATGATGTGAATGAATACACAGACAATAACGAACTCATACAGGCTAAGCTACTGGCCCCACTTGTCCAGGAACAATGAAAATGAACAGGTCCTGGACACAGCCCAGTCCAGACAAACTTGCGATGAAGTGTACCTGGTCAGCTCCATCAATGATATGACAAATGGACATCTGTGATGCAGCAAGTTGACCCACTGTATTGATATTTCTACTGGACTAGCTGAGTCTTTATCTGGCCAGATTTGTCAGGTTTATCCAAAATCCATTGCATAATAGTTCGTTACACTAGTGCTTTATGGGGTTAGTTTATAGGGATGTAGGGAATATGTAGAGTTAGAGGGTAGTTTGTTCCTTTGATAAAGAACCCTTCACCAGCATGTGCATTGGCAGGCAACAGCCTAATGCAAGGATTCCTTGTACAGTGTATTGTATTTTGAAGGCTAGAGTAATCTCTCTCATATTAATGAATGCACAGGAATCAGAGAAAATTCTAAATTTGATAGCTTTCTCTTGTTTGGAAATAATTCTATATCCTGTATTTTCCAGATTTCAATTCAGAATTGTTGTTTGAGGAAAATATAAAAGTGTCTTTTGAATACTCTGTACTGTAATAGAATTTCAAATAAGAGTTTTCTGTATACGTATTTCATAACATGGTAGGAACATTTAAACGAAATCTGTATAGTACCTACAGACTTTTAAGTAGTCAAATAGAGAGAATATTTATGATATAATTTTTTTTCTTAACAAACAGTAAGGAACCCATATAAATTAATTTTTTATTTTGGCTTAGTAGTAGCTCCCCTCCCCCCAACAGATGAGGTGGGTAGATATTGGTGAGAGGATTCTCAATCCAAGGAAGTGGACTTATCCTGTTCTTTGTTGGATAATCTGAATGCCTCCCATTACCCACCAATATATGAATCCCCCTGATTTAAATAAAAATAAATTAGCTGCAATTCAGGGTCTCTAGTTTATACAGTAATAAAACAAACCATCTGCATTAAGTATGTACATTGTTTAAGACTAAAATTTAATGTTTGTTACTATTAAAGTCAAATTTATTGTGATAAGTTTTTCCTTTAACCAATTCTATTTGATCAGTCATTGAAGAAAGAAACGAGTAACAGTTCTGCTGTATACGTTAGGGTTGGGGGGGGGAGTTCTTTTAAATTTTCATCCAATTGGTATTACGATGAAGTACTTTACAACTGATTAGTACATATTGTGGTAATGCATATGGTACAGTACTAAAAAATATCTATGTACATGGCAAGTAATAGGTAATCTTTAGGCTCAGTGTCAAAGTCTAGGAATAAACCAAATTTATTTGATTCCTTGAGTTTAGTAGCATCCTACAAAGATTTAAAATTGTAATGGAAAATATGCATAACGTGGAGGTAAAACTAAGTTTATTAGTGAGAATACTCTACGTATTTTCAAATTAATTAATAACATACAATTCAAGTAAGTGTTTTGACGTAGGAAAATCTGCTTAAATATGTAAATACAATATATATATTATACATTAGTGTAAGGTTTTATGATCACACCTATGTAATAATCTTGCCAAATATTAATTGCTGCATGATGTTGGTAAGGCATAGCCCATTTAGCTTTTAGCATCATCACATAGCCTAAACTTTAACTGACCACACTATGAAGTTGTTTTCCTCTAAAAATTTTATTACTCTGGTGCCAAAAAGAAGAAAGCAATGTTAATACTTCATTCATGAGTGAATTATAGTTTCTGCGAGTTAAAAGGAAGTTTATACACTTGAGTATACTTAATTACTGCAATCTCTTCCCCCCCAAATTATAGCTTTAGCATAATGTTTTGTAAATATATAAAATTGGTGTGGATTCTAGTATCAATTGTTTTTCCTAATTACATGCAGTGTTATATGATCCTTATGGGTTTAGCACTAAGTTATGATTATAATTTCCTAATTATGAAAAGATGATTAAGGTATTGACTATACAGTCAAACCTCGATTTTTGTATGCCCTATTTTTCATACGATTCAGTTTTTGAAAACCTTTCATTGAAATTTTATCCCAGTTTTCGTACAGTTGAAAATGGTCCATACCAAACTCGTCCACCTGCTCGCATGACTTGGCCACTCATTTCCTGGAATCGAACACCCAAACAAAGCATCCCATGCGTCCGTGACTCAGTCTGCCTTTGTTTCTCGAGTGAGCATCACCCCGTGCATTCATTCAAAACATTTCGTAATAATCCAGTGTTTTTTGTGCTTGTTTATTCAGTGAGACTGATAAATAAGCCACCATGGGGCCAAAGAAAGTTTTGAGTGCCAGCCCTTTGATAAAGAAGGTGAGAAACACGTTAGAATTCAAGAAAGAGCTTGTAGCAAAGTATGAAAGTGGCGTACCCGTGGCTGATCTCGCCAGGATGTACTGGAAGTCAGCATCAACAATCGGTTCCATCCTGGTGAAGAAAAAATAAATCAAGGAAGCTGATGTTGCAAAAGGGGTAAATGTGCTAACAAAACAGAGATCGCAAACAATTGAAGATGTTGAGAAGTTGTTGTTGGTGTGAATCAATGAAAACTGTTAGTGGAAGATAGTGTTCTGGAGGCAATAATTTGTGAAAAGGCAAGGCAGTTGCATGTGGATTTCACAAAGAAAATGCCTGGAACAAGTGCTGCTGTTAGTGAATTTAAGGCCAGAGGCTGGTTCAACAAATTCAAGAAGCAAGCTGGCATACACAGTGTGGTAAGGCATGGTGAGGCTGCAAGTTCAAACGAACGTGAGGCCGAAGAATTTGTTGATGAATTCAAGGAGTACGTAGAGGCTGAAGGATTCCTCCAACAAGTTTTCAGTTGTGACGAAACAGGCCTCTTTTGGAAGAAAATGCCAGAGGACCTACATCACGCAGGAGGAAAAGGCACTGCCAGGACACAAACCTATGAAGGATAGGCTAACTCTTTAGTTCTGTGGTAACGCTAGTGGGGATTTCAAAGTGAAGCCTTAACTGGTGTATCACTCTGAAAATCCCTGAGTGTTCAAGAAAAACAATGTCGAGTAAATTGTGTGTGATGTGGAAGGCTAACACTAAGGCATGGGTCACGAGGCAAATTTTCATTGAGTGGGTCAATGAAATGTTTGGCCCGAGTGTGAAGAAATACCTCCTGGAAAATAAATTACCACTTAAGTGCCTCCTTGTAATGGGCATTTCACCTGCTCAGTTGGAAGACCAATTGTTGGAGGAGTTTAGTTTCATCGCAATGAAGTTTTTGTCCCCTAATACCACTCCTCTCATCCAGCCCATGGACCAGCAGGCCATTTCAAACTTCAAAAAAAAAACACTACTCCAAAGCACTGTTTAAAAGGTGCTTTGAAGTGACCTTGGACACTGAATTGACCCTAAAAGAGTTCTGGAGGAATCATTTCAATATCCTCCATTGCATAAGCCTTATAGATAAGGCTTGGCAGGGAGTGACTTCCAGGACAATGAACTCTGCTTGGAGAAAATTGTGGCCAGAATGTGTCCTCGAAGGATTTTGAAGGGTTTGGGCTGACCCTGACGACCCTATGCCTGTTGTGGAATCTATTGTCTTAGGGAAAGTCCATGGGGTTGGATGTGAGTGGCCAGGATGTGGAAGAGTTGATGGATGACCACAGGGAAGAGCTAACCACTGAAGAGCTGCAGGACCTTCAACTGGAAGAGCAACAGACTGCAGCTGAGAAATTGCTTCAGAGGAGGAGGAAGAGAGGGAAGAATGTGCCGCCTTCAGTGGTTAAGGATGTGTGCAAAGTGGAATGTACTGCAAAGTTTTGTGGAGAAATATCACCCTAACAAAATGTTGCAAGCTGTCTGCAACACATTCAATGACAATACCTTGTCCCATTTAAGGCAGACTTTTTGTGTGACGGGGGTCCAGTGATTCGAGCTGGTCCTAGTGTCAGTAAAAGACGAAGAAGTAACCCCGGATAGGGCCTTGATACCTGAATTCCTTGTGGATGGGGATTTCCTTTCCAAACAATAACCTCTCCTCTCCTCGCTGTCTTCCATACGCCAACAAGTGTGTTCAATAAAGGTAAAAAGTGATATGAAATGGGTAAATGAACATTTAACTAGTCATATTTATTTCTCATTGTATGTAAAACTATATTCTCTATAAAATGTATTTTTTTTATTTTTGGGTGTCTGGAACGTATTAATTGGAATTACATTTTTTATGGGAAATATTGTTTGTTTTCGTCAGACTTTTTCGAACGGATTAATCACGAAAAACCAAGGTTCCACTGTAAACTCAAATACTGTATTTACATTACTCTAGGTTTAGCGCTTTTTTTATTATAATAATACGTATATCAATCTAGCATATACTTTATTTAGCTTAATTTTCACATTATTAAACACCATTACATATATAAAACTTCAGTGGGAGACTGTCAGTATGTTAAAGGAAAAAAAAAAAATTATTTGAAATATAAAACAAGCATAATTTTTCTCCATTATTTTATTAACCCTTAAACTGTCCAAGTGTTGATCGAGGTTTGCACGCGTAGCTCTCAGACCATGATTTTCTCCACATGAAAGCATATAAAAAAATGTAGAGCTACGTTCGGAGCACTACGGGAGTAAACGTAGATCTACGTTTGGACAGTTTAAGGGTTAAGATGCTTATTACCACCTGTAAGGCTCATACAGAACCTAGGGTAATAGGAGGCAATCAGGTTCAGGCTAAGTTAATGGAGGTTAGGTCCAATTGGCTCAAGAGCCTCTCGGTGATATGAAACCTTAAGGAAGGTATCTTGATTCCAATGAGTTCTTGATCCAAGGAATTGTATCTATCTTGGATTGAACCTGACTGCCTTCCATTTACTTCCTCAGGTGTTGTATATGACTTAAAGTTTAGCACTCCATCCATGAATGGATTAATAAGTGGTATCAGGGAATCTCTGTTGGGAAAAGGAGGGGAAATGGTGCTTGTTACAATTCTATACATCTAAGGTAGGGTAAAACATAACTTTAGCCCATATATACTTGAGACTGCAATGAAAGCTGGGGTATTTCCAGGAAATGGTCATCAAGAAGAGTCACTGTTTGCTTCAAGGGACTGCTCCACATAATCAATCAATGTCTGAGAGAGAAAAACAAGACAGTACACTAGAAAAAAATTTAGATATATTTTATTAAAATCATAAGAACAAATACATTAGGACTATTAAAAATGATCTGAACCTGAGCCTCTATGTAACTTTTCATAAAGCTACATGTAATCAATGGCAAGAAAATTTAGTGTCAAACATCATCCTGAATATAACATATAAATACAATTATCTGCATTTACATCTGTTAAGGGTCCCAGTGATCACCTTCCCAAACCCTGATCTCATACCAGACAAAAAAAAAAAATTGTGGGGATTCCTGATTTGTAGAGGGTACATTCTGAAAACTGCGCTATCAATAAATTCCCAGTTCCCCGAATTAAGCCTGAATGCCTTCCACATCCCCCAAACCCCAGGCGCTGTATAATCCTCCGGGTTTAGCGCTTCCCCCTTGATTATAATAATAATGATATCAATAAATTCAGCAACTTTTGGTCTGAAAATAAAATCCCTCAATACACCACCTACTGTAACTTGTTTCTCTTGCCTATTCTATGGTTCACCTTATTTTTCACAGACTCGTCTGCTGACATGTCCGCTACCGAATATCTGAATACATTCCTTTCATAATGCCTCCCTCTAATCTAACAGCAAATCTTCCATTGCTTAGTAATTCTTGTTACTTTCATTAACCCCTCAAGGAAGGTTCCTTGATGTTGGTGAGGGGCTCTTGATTTAGGGAATTGGATCTATGCTCCAGTTCCCCGAATTAAGCCTGAATGCCTTCCACATCCCCCCCCCAGGCGCTGTATAATCCTCCGGGTTTAGCGCTTCCCCCTTGATTATAATAATAATAATACTTTCATTAACTTGCTCTTGTAAGTTCATTTTAAATTTTCTTTTATATACCCACCCAAATTCATCTACCATCCTTTATATTCTTCTCAGAATCTCTTACAAGAATTGTGCCTTTGGTAAAGTGCAACTATGAAATCTAAAATATCTAATCATACAGTATTTTTATTGCATTTACAATGATGATAATAAGGGAAGGGATAGAACAGTTCATAAACACTGCCCACTATGGCAGGTCACCTTCACATTTTAACACATCGGCCGTTTCCCACCAAGGTAGGGTGGCCCAAAAGAAGAAAAGCTTTCACCCTCATTCACTCCATCACTGTCATGCCAGAGGCATGCTTACAATACAGTTATAAAACTGCAACATTAACACCCCTCCTTCAGAGTGCAGGCACTGTACTTCCAATCTCCAGGGCTCAAGTCTGGCCTGCTGGGTTCCCCAAATCCCTTCATAAATGTTACCCTGCTCACACTCCAACAGCATGTCAAGTCCCAAAAACCATTTGTCTATTCGTTCCTATATCCCCTGCCCCGCTGTTTTCTGTAACCTGCTGATCATCCCCCCTCCCTTCTGCCATCCAATTCCCTTGCTTCCTTCCCTACCCTGCAGCGCTGTATAGCCCTTGTGGCTTAGCGCTTCTTTTTGATTATAATAATAATAATATTCGTTCCTATCTAACATGCTCACGCACACAAAACCTCCTGTACCCTCTCCCTGCAACCTTTCCTAGGCCGACCTCTACCCCACCTTCCCTCCACTACACATTTATACATTCTCAGTCATTCTATTTTGTTCCATCCTCTCTACATTTCCGAACCACCTCAACCCTTCCTCGGCCCTCTGGATAATAGTTTTGGTAATCCCGTACCACCTCCTAATTTCCAAACTATAAATTCTCTGCATTACATTCACAACACACATTGCCCTCAGACACATCTCCATTGCCTTCAGCCTTTTCCTTGTTGCAACATTCACCACCCATGCTTCGCACCCATACAAGAGCGTTGGTATAACTTTACTCTCATACATTCCCCTCTTTGCTTCCATGGACAAAGTTCTTTGTCTCCACAGACTCCTCAATGCACCAATCGCCTTTTTCCCCTTGTCAATTCTATGATTCCTCTTCAAGGGGGGCTCCTTGGCGTGGTGAAGAGGCTCTTGGTCTGAGGAATTAGACCTGTTGGTCTCCTTCCTCAGACTGAACCTAATTACCCCCCAATCCCCCCTTCCCTATCCCATCCTCCTCATTCTCCCCTTTTTCCTTTCCTCCTCCTCCCCACCCCTCCCTTTTGCCCTTCCTCTTTTTGCCCTTTAGGATTTTTCCCACAGGCACACTAGTTCATAGGTAGGGGGAAGGGTACCAGGGTCCATCCCATTCCGTTGAGGTTCTTGGCGGTGGCGTAGTTTGCCGTGGAATCTGGATCGCCTGGGGATGTCCTGATCCCTCTCCGGTATCCCGGAGGGTGGCTTTGGGTGTCTTTCGGGCGACAGGTGTATTTCTGGAATCCACCTTTCGGATTCCGGGGGTGGTGGCCGAAGGAGGTATGCTTTGTGGCGGATATCTGGCTGCCCTCTCTTTTGTCCACCGAGGTAGCTCGGCAGATGTGAGGTTGCTATCCTGGATTGCTGGTTTACTGGCATGAAGGGTAGGGTATGGCACGGGTTCCATGCTGCATCTGCGCTACTTGTGGTGCTGAGGTCCTCTTGGGCGCGGAGGGAGATTTCTGGCCCTTTCATTCCTCCTAGGAACTATCCCTCTCTGGTCCCCCCTTTTTTCATTCTTTTTTTTTTTTTTTCTTTTCTTTCTTTTTTTCTTAAAAACAAAAAGAAAGAAGTAACCTAACCATGGAGTCCCAAATTCATGACCCCGCTACCCCCGGGCCCCTTATTGTTGCCACACCCTGTTCTGACCTCGCCTCGTCTTTTGGCCACTCTTTGGACACTCCTAAGGCCCCTGTACCTCTTGCTGGTGCTGTTTTCTCACCCGCTTCAGGTACCTGGGGCTTCCACTGACTCCTTTGATTTGTCTGACCTCCGCTCTCCTTTGACTATGCTTCTGGCCTCTCCCTCTATGGTGCGACGATTTTCGAATCGCCAGCCCGTCTCATGTCGGACCGACTCTGGTCCCACTTCTAAACGCCAACGACAATCTCCTGACATGTTACCTCATTACCTTCCCATTCTACTCGGAAAAGACCGACACGTCATGCACCCCCTCTCCACACAATGGACTAAATTCTTTACTTTACGACTGACTTCTTCTACTGCCTATCTTTCTGACCATAGTATTGGCAAAGTGCTCCTACGCCATGTTGGTAGAGATATTTCCTTTCATGCTCTTAAGAGTGGTAAGTGCATCATCACAGTCCAGAATTCTACCCAAGCTCATCCCCTCAAGGAAGGTTCCTTGATGCTGGTGAGGGGCTCTTGATTTAGGGAATTGGATCTGTGCTCCAGTTCCCCGAATTAAGCCTGAATGCCTTCCACATCCCCCCCCAGGCGCTGTATAATCCTCCGGGTTTAGCGCTCCCCCTTGATTATAATAATAATAATACCCAAGCTCATGATCTTTCTTTTTCACATATCGATACTATTCCTATCACTATCGAAAAACATCATTCCCTCAATTCTTGTAGTGGTCCTGTTATTCTGCCCCATACCATAGTCCAACAGAATTTCCAGACATGTGGCAATGACATTCTCGAACAGCTGGAACTCCAAGATCTCCCAATTCTCAAGGTAGACACTTATGTTCTTCCCGCCCGCGGGCGAAGACGATACCCTTGCAATGTGGCTCATTTAACTTTTGACAGCTGTGAACTCCCATCCTCTGTTTATGTAGCAGGACATCGGTTACAAGTTCAGAAGGTGATCCCTACACCGCAACAGTGTAGGAATTGCTGGCGATTTGGCCATCCAGCAAAATATTGCAGATCGATAGCCGAATGCCCAGTCTGTGGTGCCGATGACCATTCTAATACATCTTGCAGTTGACCTCCCTCTTGCCTTAATTGTCATGAGGCTCACCCTTCATACTCTCGCCGTTGCCAGGTCTACTTAAATGAGTGGGAAATTCGTTGCCTCAAAGAGGCAGAAGGTCTCCCTTATGCTATGGCAGTTTCTCATCTCCGCCTCCAAGGGAGACTACCCCGTGTTTTATTCTCGTGTTTCAAAACGTCCCCCCACTTCTGGGGTCCCATCTTCTGCAGCCTCCTCTGTGGTTGCCAGTCCCATAATCACTCCTGTATCTAATTCTTTTGCTGTCCTGGGCTCAGACATCCCTACTTCAACGCCTCAGTCTGTCCTCACTTCTTCGTGTTCTCCCTCACAAACCCCGGTAGCGACAAGACCTCGTATGATGCCTCCTCCCAATCGTCCCTCTTCTTCTCAGAGGTCCAACAAATCTCCTTTAACCCCTCCTTCCCTTCGTACACCTCCACATTTTACCTTCCCAGTCTCTGTACCTAGGTCTTCCCCTTTCACTGGCTCCGTTACAAGTGTGGAGGTTCATCCTCCTCCTCGTACTGTGCCTTCCTCCCCTGTCCCCTCCCAAGTTTCTTCCTCTTCTGCCACCTCCCAGGTTTCTGCCTTTTCTGTCCCCTTCCACGCTTTTTCTCCAGTTCCCTCCACCCTTTCACCCCCCCTTACCTTGGTACAGTCCATTACAGCTCCGATCTTTACTCAAAACTCCTCTCCATCTCCAATATTGTCTCCCATACGACGTCTCTGAACTCCGAAACACTTGAAGCAATCTCTGAATATATTGCAGAGACCAAACCATCAATGGACACTGATCCACCCTCTGTTCCTTCTCTTTCCTCTTCTCCATCTGCGCAACTCCTTTCTTCACAACGCACCGTTCCTTCGCTACTTGAACGTTTTCCTTTGCCACCGCATGTGGACTTTTCTAACCCTTCTAGTCCGTAGGTACCCTTACCTGTGGATTTCAGGTATCTTTATCGTTGCCAATCATGGCCTATTTACAGTGGAATATTTGTGGCCTCGGGTAATTGGGGTGAGCTTCAGATGTTGCTCTCCCAGTTTTCCCCTGTTGGTGTTTGCTTACAGGAACCAAAATTACACTCTGCCGCCTCTTCAAGGGGGGCTCCTTGGCGTGGTGAAGAGGCTCTTGGTCTGAGGAATTAGACCTATCGGTCTTCTTCCTCAGAC